ACGGAAGTGAATCTTTGCCCTCTAGGTTAATTGGAAGGTGTGAATCATGACCCCAAAATAGAGGAGGGGAAATGCCTGGAATGTTATATGCAAAGGAAGGGAAATTCAGATCTTGGCATTCTCCATGCCGTGCTGACACTCCTTTTACACTAATAAAGGCTTTTTAGGTTAAACCATGCCTGAAAGTTCTTTGAAGTGTTTCATTAGTCAGACACACGACATCAGCAGGTCGAATAGAGGGGTAGCCTGAGCAATCCCTAATCCATCACTTCATTGAAGGATTAGACGATCACCTCTCTCAGGTCTGCTTCTATCGAGCAGTACCTAATCAGCTGCAAGAATGGTACCAAGCAGTGAAGCTAGACATTCAGCTCGCTTGCTATAAGAAGCCTCCCCCACCTGAATCCGAGCAGCAGCTAGAGCAGCCCAAACAGCAATCACCCCCATGAAAATCTCCAACTACTGTGATGGCTGAGAGACCCAGGCCACCTGCAGGCCTGTCAATTAAGTATTTCCAGTGCGGACAGGAGGGACATTGAGCAGCAAACTGTCCAGTCCCCTACCTATTGCCCAGATTACACCTCCCACACAGGAGGACAGCAGGACTCCAGGTGGACCTGCCCCTGCTCTACCCTCCTTTGACAGTGACGACAAAGGAGAAAACGACCCGATGGTGAGTCGACAAGTCCCGCCTTTTTCACTGCCCGCCAAACTTATAATCCCTAAGTCGGGGTCACAAATGGACTTAAACGTGCTAATCAATTCAGGATGCTCCCGTTGCATCATTAGCTTGCCATTTGCCATGAAATTGGGCGTACGAGCAAAACTGCTCTCCAAGCCCGTGAGGTTTCAGCAAGCCAATGGCTCCCTGATGGGAGAGACTCTTGTCACGCAGTTAACTGAGCCCCTATGCCTAGAAATAGATGAGCACTGGGAGTTTATTTGCTTCCTGGTGGCTCCAAAAATGACTGAGGCGGTGATCCTAGGGCTAGCCTGGTTGGACAAATGGAAACCATTTATCTGATAGGAGAAAGGAATCAGAACTGTGAGACTACCTATAGGGCCCAACCCCCCCCCCCACTGATTCAATCAACAATGCGGGGCACTTTAGGCCACCTAATGAGCGAGAGCACATGAACCACTCCTCCCCAGTGAATACCGGGACCTAATGGAGGCATTTAGTGAAAAATAATGTGATGCCCTGCCCACTCACAGACCCAATGACTGCTCTATCAAACTGGTGCCAGGAGCCAAACTCCCACAACCGAGAATGTACACTATGTCCCCCCCTCAAAATGGAAGAGATGCAGCGATACGTAAACAAAAACCTAGCAAGGGGGTTCACTGAATGGGCCAAATCTACCGTGGAAGCCCCTGTGTTATTTAAATAAAAAAAGATGGGTCTCTTCGTCTTTGCGTGGATTATAAAGATCTGAATGTGATGAGTGTGGAAAATAAATAACTCCTCCCCTCCTGAAGGACTTACTAACCCATCTGTCTAAGGGGAGCATCTTCACTAAATTAGACCTGAGAGAGGTATATTACCGGCTGAGAATAAAGGAGGGAGACGAGTGGAAAACTGCCTTCAACTGCCCCATGGGGAGCTATCAATTCAAAGTCATGCCATTTGGACTACAGGGGCCCCCAGCCGTATTCATGCAGTTGAATAATGAAGTCCTACATGATCACTTGTACAAAGGGGTTCTGGTGTACCTTGATGACATCCTGATATACAATACAAATGCGGCTGATCATATAAAACTGATGAGAGAAGTATTAAAGAAACTATTGAATGCCAAATTGTCAAAATGTGAATTTCATCAGATTCGATTAGATTATCTTGGCTACAGAATTTTCAACGAGGGCATTGAAATGGATCCAGCCAAGGTGAAAGCTATAATCGAATGGCAGCCCCCAAAAACTTGCAAACACCTCCAGAGCTTTGTAGGTTTTGCCAACTTCTATCGTCAGTTCATCCCCTCTTTTGCCAAGATTGCCCTACCACTTCGAACTACTCAAAACAGGCAAAAGAGGAGGAAAGCCATGACCAGGCCAACTATTAGCATGGACAATGGGCTGTCAAACAGCTTTTGAGAATTTAAAGAGACTATTTGCTCCTGAACCGGTCCTAAAGCACCCCTGCTTTAGGACCGGTTATAATTCAAGCCGATGCCAGCAATGTGGCAGTTGGAGCTGTATTATTGCAAAAGAACAAAAGGGGTCCTGCAACCCTGTGCCTACACCTCTAAAAAATTTACTAAAAGTGAGCGGAGATGGGCAATCTGGGAGAAAGAGGCCTTCGCGATTAGGCGGGGGCTATTAAACTGGTGACACTTTCTAGAAGGGAGCAAAGTGCCTTTTGAAGTATGGACAGATCACAAAAACCTAGAGGCACTGAAAACTCCCCACAAATTGTCCCCAAAGCAAGTACGGTGGGCACAATACTTTAACGGTTTCAATTTCACTCTAAAGTACATACCGGGAGGAAAAAACTTCCTAGCTGATGCGCTATCGAGATTGCCCCAGTACCAAAGCAAAGCAAAGAGGTTAATGAGGAAATTATCTCAAATCCACAAACTGCCGCTCAACTCATGCCTCGCAGAGTCCCTAATCCTAATGACCCTGGGGTAAAGAAAATAAAACAAGAGCTCCTTATTAATCAATGGTTCAAAGATAATCAAATCTCCCTAACATGCAGGGATGGCTTGGCTTACAAAGGGGGGAAACTATATTTGCCTGAAGCCCTCCATCTTAATGCTCTCAAACACAGCCATGATGTAAAACAGGCTGGACACTTTGGATATCTAAAAACTCTACATCTCATCAGCTGGCAATTTTGATGGCCGGGGCTGAAACGGGATGTGGAAAACTATGTAAAAAGTTGTACTGTATGTGCCACAATGAAAAGAATCCTAGGGAAAACCCCTGGGTTACTTCAGCCAGTGATAGACCCTTCTCAACCATAGGAAGAAATAGTTATGGACTTTATAGTAGACCTACTTGAAAGAAGAGGAAATACTGTCATCTGGACTGTGATAGACCTGTTCTCGAAGCAGGCTCATTTCATTGCCTGCAAAGGACTCCCATCCGCCCAACGACTGACCAAATTGTTCCTGAAACATATCTACCATCTGTATGGCGCCTTTAAGCGAATAATTTCAGACGGGGGGTGCAGTTCACAGCGAAGTTTTGGAGGAGTTTCTTAAATTAATTGGATCATCTCAAGGTTTATCATCTGCTTTTCATCTGACCACCAGTGGGGCTGCAGAACCCACTAACAAAATGGTGGAGCAATATCATAGATGCTACATTTCTTACCAACAGACAAACTGGACTGACCTCCCTTTTGCGGAGGTGGCGTACAATAATTCTGTGCACAGGAGCACCGGCTACATGCCTTTCAGAGTGGCCACAGGAAAACAATTCAGCCCAATACCTGAATACCCTCAGATGTCCTCCACTTCCCAGACACTTGACCAATGGGTGAGGGGGTGGGAAGAAGTTTGGAGAAACACAAAAACTGCATTAAAAAAGACTTCTAAGACCTATAAAAAGCAGGCTGATAAAAAGAGGGCTCCCCAAAGAACATTCCAAGTTGGGGAAAAGTTTTATCTGTGAACCAAATACTTACGCCTCAAATTGCCCAGCAAGAAATTGGGGCCAAAATTCTTGGGGCCTTTCTCCATTGTAAGGATCATCAACCCCATCACAGTAGAATTAAAACTCCCTAGGCTTTTAGGGAGGATTCACCCTATTTTCCATTGCAGCTTGTTAAAACCTTGTCAAGGCTTCACTTTAAGACCTCCCCCTAAGAAGGCACCCGGGCCCCTCGTAGTAGCGGGTCAGACTCACTATGAAGTGAAACGTATTCTCGACTCTAGATTTTTTAAAAGGAAATTGCAGTACCTAGTACAATGGAAGGGGTACTTATTGTCTCAAGCTACTTGGGTGGAATCTAGCGATGCGAAGGCTGACCAACTCATCAAAAAGTTTCATGAGAAAACCCCCAACAAACCAAGAGATAATCCCTGACATATGCTTTTGTTTACATACAGGACCTATCCTTTTTGTAAGGGGAGCCAGATGCCAACGCTGCTAATATTGGATATTCTTGCTTTGACAAAATATGCACAACTGTCTGGTATTTTTAGAGTTAACTTAGATGATGCTGGGAGGGGAGGAGAAAGAATATGTGTAGGGAATAATTAAGATAAGGAATATGCGGGCTGCAGAACGGAAGTGAACTTTTGCCCTTCGGGCTGATTGGAGAATGTGATTTATGACTGCAAAATAGAGGAGGGGAAATTCATATCTTTGCATCCATCCATGCCGTGCCTACACTCTGTTATACAAAAAATAAAGACTTTTTAGGATAAACAACGGACATGATAGCAGTGTTCCAATATCTCAGGGGTTGCCACCAAGAAGAGGGGGTCAAGCTATTCTCCAAAGCGCCTGAAGGCAGGACAAGAATCAACGGATGGAAACTAATCAAGGAGAGAAGCAACCTAGAATTAAGGAGAAATTTCCTGACAGTTAGAACAATTAACCAGTGGAACAGCCTGCCTCCAGAAACGTTGAATGCTCCAACATTGGAAGTTTTAAAGAAGAGACTGGACAGCCATTTGTCCGAAATGGTATAGGGTTTCCTACCTGAGCAAGGGGTTGGACTAGATGACCTCTAAGGTCCCTTCCAACTTTTTTTATTATTATTATTACTATTACTATTATTACTATTATTATTATCATCGTCGTCGTCGTCATCATCATTGATCTTTTGGGGGAAATTCAGACTAAATGTATGTGCTTCAAAATGAGGAATTCCAGCAATATACACAGACCCTTTCCTACAGTGTATCTCCTAACTACCTACTCCTCAACTAAATCTTCCCTGCTGATTAATATAAATTAATAATAGATAATTTTTGTATCTTTCTCCATAATTTATTTATTCTCATGCTCTAATAATTATTTTCTTGTTTTTCTTTTCTTTACAAAAGCTTGGATTGGAAGATACAACAAGATATCTAGACAAAATGAAACTGATTTGGCAGTATGAAGAGACCAAAAAAAGGTGAATATGTTAAAGTGCTATTTTTAATGTGGCAACTAATCTGTTAGGAAGTCTCACCTTGGTTGGGGTTTTGAATACGTGTGACGAGATATTTAGCATAGTTTAATAATCTGAAGAACACTAAGTAACTGTCCAATATTGCACATTTAAGATTAGGCAAATTTTCAAAGTGATATAAAAAAGAAATTACATTCTAAGTCAGACATGTCAAACCCAAGGCCCGGAGGCCAGATGCGGCTCACAAAGTGGTTTCATGTGGCCTGCGAAGCCATCCTGGAAACAGGGAACAGCCCCTGCTGTCTTGGCCCTGGCCCAGGTCGGCCGGGAGGCAATGTACAATTTTGTGGTGGCCATCTATGCTGAAATGCATTGAGTCTTAGCTCCACAAGGCCGTCTGGAAACAGTAAGGAACCAGCCCCTGCCGCGTCAGCCCAGCCCCCTGGGTGCATGCTGGAGAGGTGTCACCCTTTGTGAGGAATGAAGAAATGCACCATCGCCTGGAAGTGGCCAGGAATCACCTACTTCACATATCCGGCTTGATGGGCTCTGGGGGAAGGGTTTCGGCAGGCAGCGGGGCACTCTCCTCACAGTGCCGAGAGGCTGAGCCGGGCAGCGCAAATCCAAAAAGAAACGCGAGGCCACTCAGCTCCTAGCCTGCCCGGTTTCAGGAGGCAGTGGGGAGCTCTCATAGTGCCAAGAACTGAGCTGGGTAGCACGAATCTGATGAGAAGTTTAATGCTGCCTAGCCCCCAGCCTGCCCAGTTTCAGCAGACAACAAGGTGCAAAGCTGGAGAGCTTTGCACCGCCTGGCTCAACCTCTCGGTGCTGTGAGGAGAGCGCCCCGCAGCCTGCTGAGACTGGGCAGGCTGAGGGCTGGGTGGCATTGCACAGGTAATGTTGATTCTCATGCTGCTCATGGCATCCCCTCCCCCAGAGCCCACCAAGCCAGATATGTGAAGTAGGTGAGGGCCATTTGCTGGCCACTTCCAGACAATGGTGCATTTCTTCATTCTTCATGAAGGGTGACACCTCCCCAGCTGCATTTCTTGCCTGTTTTTCTCCCTCCCTCATCTCAAATATTTTCCCACCACTCTGTACTTAGGAAACAAAGAAGGAAAGAAGGAGAGGGATGGTCTGAGGGAAGTCCTGCCTTAGTCCTGCTCTGCTGCCCTTTCACTATCCCCTTGCCCCCTCCTCCTGGCCTATCCTGGGGGTCTCCCATCCTATTGCTAAGGAAGCTTTGGATACAAAACCGGGTCTCTTCCCATGGAGAGGGAATGGGCCTCCCTTTGACTTTGCCCTCGTACCCATCATGAGCAACCTGGCTAAGGAGAGCAAGCACAGCAGCAGCAGCCTTGAGGAGGAGGTAAGTGCAGCTGAGCGCCCCCTTGGGGAAGTAGGGCTGGGCTTGGTGCTGTAGGTGCTCAAGGGCCAGGCTGTGCATTTGACCTCTGCTGCCCAGGGCTCTGGGCAGCCCGCACCATCATCCAGTCCCACCCCACATGGCCTGAGAGGAACAGTGAGGCTCCTCCAGTGGACCATGCCTTTGCACTTGACCTGGTCCCACCCCGTTCTGCAGAGACCCTCAGATCTATCTCACTCCTGCCCAGGCCCCAACAGGCACCCTTGACGCAAACGATGTAGAGCTGGCCATGCCCACCCTGTAGGCCGCACCCATTCCATCCACACCCACCCAGTAGGCTGCAACCACCCTGGCCACACCCACCCGGCCCCCCAAGGGCAACCGCAATACTGATGCGGCCCTCAATGAAATTGAGTTTGACACCCCTGTTCTAAGTCTTTGGTTTGGCAAAACGTTTATGTTATAAAGAAAAAAGATACTTAAATAAATATATTAAGGTGATATTATGGATTGCTTTATATTTTGGCTATAGCTTTTGAGGTAACATCTCTATAGGTCTTGATAGATGAAATAAAAAAGACCTAATCAAGTTGTAATGAGGGAGTGTAAAAATCGCATATCACAAACCAAAAAAATATACGTCCTTGCTAGACATGGAATAGACACCAGTTATATTTCATTGAGGGGACGTGATGGTTCAGCAGTTAAAGACGCTGAGCTTGTCAACTGGAAATCTGATAGCCTGGGTTCGAGACCCGAGTACCATATAATGGGTGAGCTCCTGTTCCTGCCCCAGCTCTTGCCCACTTACAGTGAGGGGAAAAATTATTTGACCCCCTGCTGATTTTGTACGTTTGCCCACTGATAAAGAAATGATCAGTCTCTAATTTTAATGGTAGGTTTATTTTAACAATGAGAGACAGAATAACAACAAAAAAATCCAGAAAAATGCGTTTCAAATAAATTATCAATTGATTTGCATTTTAATGACTGAAATAAGGATTTGACGCCTTCACAAAACATGATTTAATATTTGTTGGCAAAACTCTTGTTGGCAATCACAGAGGTCAGACGTTTCTTGTAGTTGGCCATCAGGTCTGCACACATCTCAGGAGGGATTTTATCCCACTCCTCTTTGCAGATCCCCTCCAAGTCATTAAGGTTTCGAGGCTGACATTTGGCAACTCGAACCTTCAGCTCCCTCCACAGATTTTCTATGGGATTAAGGTCTGGAAACTGGCTAGGCCATTCCAAGACCTTAATGTGCTTCTTCTAGAACTACTCCTTTGTTGCCTTGGCCATGTGTTTTGGGTCATTGTCATGCTGGAATACCCATCCACGACCCATTTTCAATGCCCTGGCTGAGGGAAGGAGGTCCTTACCCAAGATTTGATGGTACATGGCCCCGTCCATTGTCCCTTTGATGCGGTGAAGTTGTCCTGTCCCCTTAGCAAAAAAACACCCCCAAAATATAATGTTTCCACCTCCATGTTTGACGGTGGGGATGGTGTTCTTGGCGTCAAAGGCAGTATTCCTCCTCCTCCTAACACGGTGAATTGAGTTGATGCCAAAGATCTCAATTTTGGTCTCATCTGACCACAATACTTTTACCCAGTTATCCTCTCAATCATTCAGGCCTGGACATGTGCTTTCTTGATCAGGGGGACCTTGCGGACGCTGCAGGATTTCAGTACTTCACAGTGTAGTGTGTTACCAACTGTTTTCTTGGTGACTATGGTCCCAGTTGCCTTGAGATCATTGACAAGATCCTCCTGGGAAGTTCTGGGCTGATTCCTCACAGTTCTTATGATCATTGAACCTCCACGAGGTGAGATCTTGCATGGAGCCCCAGACCGAGGGAGATTGACAATTATTTTGTGTTTCTTCCATTTGTGAATAAGCTGCTTGGTGATAGTCTTGTAGCCCATTCCAGCCTTGTGTAGGTCTACAATCTTGTCCCTGACATCCTTGGACAGCTCTTTGGTCTTGGCCATGGTGGAAAGTTTGGAATCTGATTGATTGATTGCTTCTGTGGGCAGGTGTCTTTTATACAGGTAATAAGCTAAGATTAGGAGCACTCCTAGAGAGTGCTCCTAATCTCAGCTTGTTACCTGTATAAAAGACAGGAGCTAGAAATCTTGCTGATTGATAGTGGATCAAATACTTATTTCACTCATTCAAATGCAAATCAATTTATAACTTTTTTTTTGAAAAAAAATTATTTTTCATTTTTCAATACATTTGATACATTCAATACATTATTAAAAAATACCTTTGAAATAAATTCATACATATAACCTTAGGTGTTGCTCGTCCATCTCTCCCCCTGACTGTATCCGCCCTCTCTACCTTCCTTCCTTACTTCCCTCCTCCCTCTCTCCTCTCTTCACGTCTCTCCCCTCATCCCTTTCTCCCATCCTACTTCCTTCCATCCCTTCCTCCTCCCCTCTCATCCCTCTTCGGATACAGTTTAGGGGGAATACCCGAGCGGCACCTCTCTCTAAATTACTCTACCTATTTTATACATTAATATTTCTGTTTATCTAGCCTACTTAATCCCACCCATCCCCCCCACCCCCCACTTCCCGGAGCAGAATACAGGGTTATTGTAAACAAAACAAACACAATCTATAACTTTTAAAATAAAAAAATTATACAATAAACAAATTCATACTTAACCCGTAACTCCCTCTAAACTTTAACATCATAATGATGTAAACAAATCTATTATAAATCATTATAAAATTCTATAAATAATAATCATTATTTCTTTCAAGAAAAATTTTTAATCATAAAATAAATGGAACTTTAAAGTTCCATATTTATTCTGAATATAATCTATCCATCTTTTCCATACCCTAATATATTTTTCTTGTGTATGATCCTTTAAATAAGCAGAAATCTTTGCCATTTCTGCTAAATTAGAAACCTTGAATATCCATTCTTCTAAAGTAGGCAACGAATCCTTCTTCCAGTATAAACCTACAAGTAACCTTGCTGCGGTTATTAAATTCAACATTAAAATAGTTTCATTAACATCTAAATTTATAAAAATACCCAACAAAAATAATTGAGGAGTAAACTTTATCTTCTTTTTAAAAATCTTTTGAATGTTCCACCAAATCATTATCCAAAAAGCTTTAACATTCTTACAGGTCCACCAAACATGAAAATAAGTTGCATCAGTACTACCACACCTCCAGCATTTGGGCTGTAAGTTAGGATACATACAAGACAGTTTTTTAGGATACAAATGCTACCTATAAAACATTTTGTAAAAATTTTCCCTCAAATTTTGGGCCTGTGTAAATTTAACATTTCTAATCCAAATAGTCTCCCATAAATCCAATAAAATCAGTTCCTGGATATTCTGGGCCCATTTAATCATATAATCTTTTACTAACTCTGTTTCCGAGTCCAGTTTTATTAACTTGTCATAAATTCTTTTAATATGAGCATGATTCTGATCTTTAATCTGAATTACCAAATTTTCATGTCCCAATGTTATTCCAACTTTCTTATCTACAGTCCACCTATCCACAATTTGTATATATTGAAACCATGACTGTAAGATATTTTCTTGTCTTAGTACATCTAAAGATTTTAACTGCCAATCAGTACCTGACCAAATTAATAA